TAGTGTGTGTATGTGTATAAATATATATATAGAGAGAGAGAAAGTGTGTATGTATATATATACACAAGACATGGTATATTGTTAAAAGCAAGCCTCATATATTAAAGAAAGACACAGAGGATTTTAAAAGACTCAAAACTTTTAAAAATAAAAAAATACGATTTTTGAAATTAAAAAAATCAAATGGATGAATGAACATGATATCCTGGATTGGATCCAGGAACAGAAAAAGGATGTTTGTGGGAAAACTGGGAAAATTTGAATAAGCCTATAGTTTAATTAATAGTGCCAATTATGTTTAGTTGTGCCACTGCTAATTTCTGAGTTTTGATAAACATTTCATGGTTATATAAGATGTTCACATTAGGAGAAGCTGGTTGAAAGTTATACAGGAAATCTACATCCTATCTTTAGAACTCTTCTGCCAATCTAAAATTATTTCAAAATTTAAAACAAATTTCAAATGTATTAGATGACATTAATAGCAGACTACAACCTGCAGCAGAAAATATTAGTAAACTTGATACCATAGCAATATACATTAACCAAAATAAAATAGAAAAAAATATAAATAAAGTATCAGTGAGCTTTGGGACTTCAAGTAGCCTAATATATGTACAACTAGAATCTCAGGAAAAGAAGCAATGGACAGAAAAAAAAATGGGAAAAAAAATGATCAAAATTTTTCCAAACTTAAAAAAAAACCTACGAAATCATAGATCCAAGAATCTCAACAAAGCCCAAGCAGAAGAGCATGAAGACAGCGACACCAAGGCAAATTATAATATGATTGCTTTAATCAGTGGTAAAGAGAACATCTTAAAAGCAATCATAGAAAAAGACACGTTATATACAGAAGAACAAACATAAGAATGACGGCAGTCATTGTCAGAAACAATGCAAGCCAGAAGACAGTGGTGCAGTATCTTCAAAATGCTAAAAGGAAAATTCAGCTGTCAGAACTCTATACTGAGCAAAATACCTCTCAAAACCAAAGTTAAATAAAAATACTTTCAGATATACAAAATTTGAAAGACTTTATTACCAACAGACCAGATCTATAAGAATATTAAAAAGAAGTCCTTCAGGTGGAAGAAAAATGTCATCAGAAGGAAATACCTATCTATACCAGGCAATAAAGAGCTCTAGAAATGGTAAATAGGTGAATAAATATAAAATATTTTTACTCTAATTTTTAAACCTTTTAAAACATAACTTGGATGTGGCCAACAAGAAGCTAATAAATTTTTTAAAGGAAGGAATATATAACATAGTTGACTATTGGAAGCAAAAGTAATAAGGTATTATAGAATTTTAACAGATGTGGAATTACAATATATAACAACAATAGCTCAAAACCCAGAAGAGGCGAAGTGAAAGTGCACTGTTGCAACATTTATATACTATAGGTGAGGTGGTATTATATTAATTAAAGGTAGATTAAAAGGGGAACAAATAACAGATGGAACAATAGAAAACAAACAGCAAGATGAAATATTTAAATCCAACTATATCCCTGGTCATTTTTAATGTAATTTGTGTAAGCATCTAAATTAAAGGACAGAGATTGTCTGATTAATTTTTTAAAGATCCGGCCAGTCACGGTGGCTCACGCCTGTAATCCCAGCACTTTGGGAGGCCAAGGAGGGCGGATCATGAGGTCAGGAAATCGAGACCATCCTGGCCAACATGGTGAAACCCCGTCTTTACTAAAAATACAAAAATTAGCTGGGCATGGTGGTGCGTGCCTGTCATCCCAGCTACTCGGGAGGCTGAGATGGGAGAATCGCTTGAACCCAGGGTGGAGGTTGCAGTGAGCTGAGATCTCACCACTGCACTCCAGCCTGGTGACATAGCAAGACTCTATCTCAAAAAAAAAAAAAAAAAAAAAAATTAAAGATCCAACTCTATATTAATAGCAAAGTAGATATTAGAGCAAAAATATTAACAGGGATAAAGAGGGTTAGTTGAAAATGACAAAGATGTCAATTCATCAGGATAACGTAACAGTCCTAAAAGCTTATATATCTAATGACAGAGCCTCAAAATACATAAAGCAAGACCTGACAGAACTGAAAGGAGGAACAGACAAATCTGTAATTGCAGCCAAAGATTTCAACATCCCTGTCTCAGTAGTTGAAAAATAAGTAAACAGAAAATTAGTAAGAATATAGGAGACTTGAACAATACTTTCATCCAACTTAATTGATATTTATAAAACCCTTCACCCAACAACAGCAGAACACCATGGAAAAAGACAGCTAAGGAGAATTCTCCTGAGGTCAAAACAAACCTCAAAGACTGGCCTCAAAAATACTCCTGCCCAAATGTAATTGGATCAGACTGTGGTGCAATGTATTCCTCAGCACATGATCAAAAACAATAAAGCAATCAGATGACAATGTGTGGAGCCTAACACTGGGTGTGATACCAGCAGAAGTAGATACTTTTACAAATAGATCAGGAAAAGCGACAGTCAAATGCCTCTGCTAAAACCACTGTTATCCCAGGGTGAATGTGCACATATGCAAGGCTACAGTCTCTAAGGAAAGACAGAGGCTTCATGCTGTGGGATAATAGACTAAATTAAATAGTCTAGCCAAGTCAGTAGTAAAGAAGTGAAAAATAACAAAAGCAAGCTACAAAGAGGGGTGGAAGATCGATATCTAGAGTGGCTACCATATATTACCAAAAATATAAAGTTTCAACAAAAAAATTATGAGTCATGCAAAGGAACAAGAAAGTATGCACACATGAAGGGGGAACACAGGCAAGAGAAACTGCCAGCCAAAGGCCTCAAGTCATATTTAGCCAATGAAGATTTCAAGCATCCACTATAACTATATTCAAAGAACTAAAGGAATTCATGCTTAAAGAACTAAAGGATCTACATATTTAGTGCAACCCCTATCAAAATCCCAATGATGTTTTTGCAGAAATAGAAACATCCATCCTAAGATTCGTATGGAATCTCAAGGGACCTTGAGTAGTCAAAACAGCTTTGAAAAATAACAAAGCTGAAGGACTCACACTTCCTGATTTCAAAACTTACTACAAAGCTACAGTAATCAAAACAGTGTGGTACTGGCATAAAGACAGACACATAGACCAATGGAATAGAATGAAAAGCCCAGAAGTAAACCCTCATATCAAGTGATTTTTGTCAAGAGAAATTAGACTATTTATTTAGGAAGGGACAGTTTTTTTCAATAAATCATGCTGGGAAAATTAGATATCCACATGCAAAAGAGATTCTTTTGTAGTGCCAAATACAAAAAAAAAAAAAAAAAAAAAAAAAAAAAAAATCAAAATGGACAAAAGACCTACCAAAAACTATCAAACTTTTAGAAGAAGTCACAGGGCAAAAACTTCATGAATTTGAATTTGGCAATAATTTCTTGGATATGACTCCAAAGGCAGAGGCAAAAAAGAGAAAACAATCAACAAATTAGACTTCATGAAAATATTAAAATGTTGTGCATCACAAGACTATGTCAACAGAGTAAGAAAGCAACTCACAGAATGGGAGAAAATATTTATAAATTATATATCTGATGAGGGATTCACATCCATAATATAGTGAGAACTCTTAAAACCCAAAACAACAACAACAAAAGAAAAGCAGTGCTATTAATAAAAGGGCAAATAACTTAAATAGACATTTCTCCAAAAATCTATACAAATGGATAATAGGCACATGAACAAATGTTTATTACTAAATCATTAAGGCAATGCAATCAAAACTACAATGAGATAAGATAGTCCATCTCACCCATTAGAATGGCCGCTATAAAAAAAAAAAAAAAAAAAAAAAAAAAAAAATAACAAGTGTTGGTGAGACTATGGAGAAATTGGAACCCTTGTGCACTGTTGGTGGAAATATAAAATGGAAAACAGTATGGCAGTTTCTCAAAAAATTAAAAATAAAATTACAATATGATCCAGCAATTCTACCTCTGGTGAGGGGTGGGGGAGTAAAGGAAGCTATGGTGACAATTTCTCATCAAATAGAGAATATTAATAAAGAGATAGAAACTATTTTGAATGGAAATTCCAAAATTAAATGTACAATAACCAAAATGAAAAATTCACTTAGAGGTGTTCAACAGTAGATTTGAATTGGCAAAAGAATCATCAAACTTGAAGATAGATTGATAGAGATTATATAATCTGAAGAACAGAAAGAAAAAGGGATAAAGAAAAATGAACATAGCCTTAGGGAAATGTGAAACACCCTTAAGTGTACTAACATATGAGTGAGATAGGATTACCAGGAGAGAAGAGAAAGAAATGAACAGAAAAAGTATTAGAAGATATAATGATTGAAAACTTCCTAAATTTGTTGAAAAACATTACACATTGAAAACTTCCCAAATTTGTTGAAAAACATTACACATCCAAGAAACTCTACAAACTCAAAGAAACCCACCCCAGACATATAATAGTAAAAGTGCTTGAAAGACAAAGAGAAAACATTGACAGCAGTAAGAGACAAATAACTCATCACATACAAGGGAATGATAATAAGATTAGCAGCTGACTTCCTATCAGAAACAGTGGAAGCCAAAAGACAGCAGGCTGACATATTCAAAGTACTGAAAGAAAAGCCTGCCAACCAAAAATATTAAAAACAGAAAAACTATCTTTCAAAAACTACGGCAAAATAAAGACATACCTACATAAACAAAAACTAAGAGATTTCATTGCTAGCAGACCCACTTTACAAGAAATACTAAAAGAAATCCTCTAGGCTGAAAGCAAGCAAATACAGATGGAAATTCAAATCCACGTGATAGAACAAAGAGCACTGATAAAGATAACTATATAATTATAAAAGGCAGTTTTAAGTGCATATTTCTTATTTCTTCTCCTATTTTTTAAAGAAATTATATAAAACATTATATATATAATTATATTCTTGGAGAAAATGTATACTCTAAAAATTACAAAATATTGTTGAAAGAAATTAAAGAAGATCCAATTGGCTCATCGGCACGGTCATGGCAGGTGTGCTGAAGAAGACCACTGGCCTTGTGGGATTGGCTGTATGCAAGAGTCCACACAAGACAAGCAGCTAAAATCAGTCTGCTAAAATGTAAGAGGCTAAGAATATTGTACACAAAGATCCTTGATGTTCTTAAGCGAACTCCTAAAAAAGCAGCATATAGAAAGTATACAGAACAGATTGCAAATGAGAAGCTGACTATGGTTAAAGCAGAACCAGACGTTAAACAATCAGAAGACCAACTTCAAGGTGTTCAAATAAAAGAGGTGATTCTTCAGGTTGAAAATGAACTAAGTCTGGCAAGAAAAATGATGCAGTGGAAACCATGGGAGATGTTCATGAAGGAGCCGCCTGCCAATCAATGGAAATGGCCAATGTAATTAATAAATGACTGGTGGGTTGATGGGAAACTGAGATAATTAAATATTTTGTTATATTAAGAGCATATCCATATTATTGACATTTTATGATCAAGAAAAGAAATATAGAAAATATTTAAGAGACTTAAAATTAGTGATTATGGTAATACAGTCTTGTGAATCAATTTTTGATTTAAAAAGTATTCACACAAATTATTACAAAGATGATATTTCTTAGAACAGAGAGGTCATGGAAAGATTTGAAAATTAATTTTAAAAAATCCTACAGATCTTCAGTGCAGAGGTCATAATCCAAAAGTAAAGTTTCTTTAGTAGTATCTTCAATACATCATTAATTTTTTTATCATCCTGAAGAAGAAAAGGTCCTTAATTATTATTGTCTAAACAAATTTATAGATCACTGTTTAAATAGCAAGAGTGAATATTTTCAAATGTGATAAAATAGCACAAGTGGCTGGTGATAAAATTTGAAATTATAGTTAACCTCCTTAACTGTGATCTTACGTATGTAAAGTAAAATTTAAGTATATAATTAGGCCAGGTGCGTTGGCTCACACCAGTAATCCTAGCATTTTGGGAGGCCAAGGCAGTTGGATCATTTGAGATCAGAAGTTCGAGACCAGCCTGACCAATATGGTGAAACCCCCATCTCTACCCAAAATACAAAAAAATTACCTGGGTATGATGGTGTGTGCTTCTGATCCCAGCTACTCGGGAGGCTGAGGTGGAGGGATCACTTGAGCCCAAAAGGCAGAGGTTGCAGTGAGCCCAGATCACACTACTGCACCCTAGCCTGGGTATCAGAGCAAAACCCCATCTCAAAGAAAAAAAAATTAAAATTAAAAATTAAAATTAAAATAGGCTAAAGAGCTGAATATACATTGCTCCAAAGAAGATATACAAATAGCCAATAAACACTTGAAAATATGTTCAACGTCATTAGCCATTAGAGAAATGCAAATCAAAATCACAATTAGATACCACTTCACTCTTACTATGATGGCTATACATATATAAATTTTTTTTTTTGAGACAGGGTCTCACTCTGTCACCCAGGCTGGAGTAGGGTGGTATGAACATGGCTTACTGCAGCCCTCAACCTTCTGGGCTCAAGCTATTCTCCTGCCTCAGTCTCCCAAGTAGTGGGGACTACAGGCACATGCCACCACACCCGGCTAATTTTTGTATTTTTTGTAGAGACGAGGTTTCACCATGTTGCCCAGGCTGGTCTTGAACTCCTGGTCTCAAGTGATCTGCCCACCTCAGCCTCCCAAAGTGCTGGGATTACAGGCGTGAGCCACCACATCCGGCCAAGACTGCTATAATTTAAAAAGCAGATAATAACAATTGTTGGTGAGGATGTGGAGAAATTGGAACCCTCATGTATTGGGGAAATGTAAAATGGGAAAGTAAAATGATACTTTCCATTTTGGAAAATGGCAGTTCCCCAAAAATCTACACATAGAGTTTCTATATGACCCAGAAATTCCACTCCTAAGAAAATGTTCAAGAAAGGCCGGGCGCAGTGGCTCACGCCTGTAAACCCAGCACTCTGGGAGGCCGAGGCGGGCGGATCACAAGGTCAGGAGATCGAGACCACGGTGAAACCCCGTCTCTACTAAAAATACAAAAAATTAGCCGGGCGCGGTGGTGGGTGCCTGTAGTCCCAGCTACTCAGGAGGCTGAGGCAGGAGAATGGCATGAACCCGGGAGGCGGAGCTTGCAGTGAGTCGAAATCGCGCCACTGCACTCCAGCCTGGGCGACTCTCAAAAAAAAAAAAGAAAATATCCAAGAAAAACGAAAATATACATCCACACAAAAACTTGTACACAAATGTTCGTAGCAGCACTATTCATAATAGTCAAAAAGTGGAATCAACCCAATGTCTATCAACTGATGAATGGGCAGATGAAATGTAGTATATCCATACAATTGAATATTACTTAGCAATAAAAAGAAATTAAGTCCTGATACATGCTACAATATAGATGAACCTTGAAAACATTAAGCTAAGTAAGAGAAACCAGTCACAAAGGGAAACATATTTTATAATTTCATTTATATAAAATGTCCAGAATAGGCAGCTCAATAGAGACAAAAAGTAGATTTCCTAAGACTGGAGGAGGTTGAGGGGAAGAGAGGAGTGACTGCTAAACAGTATGGGCTTTCTTTTGAAAGTGATAAACATGTTCTAAAATCAGCTGTGGTGATACTCAAAACTATTGCATTGTACATTTTAAATTCGCCCGTTGTACACTTTAAACTCCCCCATTTAAAGTGTACAATGCAACAGTTTTGTATTTGAATTGTACATTTTAAACAGCGGAATTTAAATGGGCGGCTGCATGGTGTTTGAATTATAGCTCAATAAAGATGCTATTTTTAAAAAGAACTAACCATTGATTCACACAACATGGATGACTCTCAAAATAATCACGCTGAGTGAAAGAAGCCAGATTTTAAAAAGAGTACATTCTGCATAATTCCCTTTACGTAAAATGCTAGAAAAGGAAAGTAATCTGCAGTTACAGAGAGCAAATCAGTGGTTGCCTGGTTGGGGAAGAAAGGAATGGATTACCAAGGAGCATGAGAAAAATTGTGGGTATATTAGATAAGTTCATTATCTTGATTGTGGTCATAGTTTCATGACTGTATACATTAAAACTAATCAAATTATATTATTTAAATGTAGTTGTACATCAATCATCCTTCAATAAACCTGCAACAAAAAAGCATACTAAAAAGTCACAAGATTATTTATATGTATAGATATACATATATAATCACAAGACCTATTTCTATGTATAGATATACATACGCAAATGATCAGAAAAGTATCTGGATAGATATACACAAAACTAATAACAATAGTTACTTTTGGAAAAGTGAAAGTGTAAATTTATTTTGTGTAAATAAATAAAATTCTAATAAACTTCCTTTTACTTTTAAAATAGTGAAATAAAAATCTAACAACAATACCTAGTTCCAAAATAAAATGACCCTAATTTTTAAAGCGCCCTTTGGCTGGGCGCAGTGGCTGACACCTGTAATCCCAGCACTTTGGGAGGCCAAGGCGGGAAGATAACTTGAGGTCAGGAGTTCGAGACCAGCCTGGCCAACAGGTGAAACTCTGTCTCCACTAAAAATACAAAAGTTAGCCAGGTGTGGTGGCGCATGCCCGCATGCCTGTGGTCCTAGCTACTCGGGAGGCTGAGGCAGGAGAATCGCTTGAACCCGGGAGGCGGACGCTGTAGTGAGCTAAGAATATGCCACTGTACTCCAGCCTGGGCAACAGAGGGAGACTCTGTCTCAAAAAAAATAATAATAATAAATATAAATAAATAAGTAAATAAAGAGACCATTAAACCTGCAGAGACACGGACTCTGAAAACTGTCGAGAACCTCATGGAGGAACCATCAAGATGGATGCTCTGAGCACAGGGAAGAGGGACCAACTGGAGGAACCCAGTCACTGGCTGCCTGGGGAGACAGGCTTTGCATTGACTGAGGGAGATAGGATTCAAGGGTGGACAAGTCAGTGTCAGAGTTAACCCAGGGCCATGCTCCTGCCTCACTAGGTGGTGCTGAGCTAACCCCTTCACCCCTCTAGGGTAGTTCTCCCCCTGGACAGTGAGCATGGGTTATGATGGCCTTTAAGCACTTTCCTGCTCTGATAGTCTGTAATTCTGCTGTACTTCTTCATCCAGTTCAGTTCACTCCCCTATTCACTTTCCTAGATTTTGCCCTTTTGTAAGATCCCTGTGAGAGTTCAGCCAAGACCTCTAGCTCCTCACCTGGAAAGCAAGTCTGCCTATCATTTGTTCACTCACACATTCATTTATTTTTACATTTATTTATTCATTGAGAATTGCTTATGTGTTCATTTAATTGCTCATCATCCATTCACATATTCATTCTGTAAACATTCCTGGGTCAGCACTGGCTGGGGCCTGGCCTAAGAGGATGGTTCCTGTCCCTTAGCCACTTTCTCCGACTTTTCCACACCAATTAAGATTTCTAAATAGATTCTTTGTAATTGGGTCTTTGGGACATTATCCCTGAGGCTCCCCAAAGTTTCTAAGCTGGGCACATTTCCTCTCTTCCCTCTAAATTTCCTCAGGGATCGCACAGTCCCTTGGTGCACAGAGTGCTTTGAAAGGTGCCACCTCCATATGGCCTGCCTGCTCCCCGGAAGCTGTCGGCTGAGATGGAGCTGGGCGCTACCAGGTCAGGGGGTCCCTGGCTGCCCACAGTAACCTACTAGCCTCTCCGTTTCCTAATTTTACCAAACCTGACACATTGCCAAGAAACCCACTGAATTCTAAGCAGTTTGTGTAATTCTGCCAAATTCCAAAAGTTCCGTTTAATTCTATCGAGTTGCAAACCCTTTGCTGAATTCTATGAAAGTTCAGGCATGTTTTCAGAGTTTGGAAAGCTGGGCTGGTGTGAAACTCCATGTCCCGTCCACCAGGATTGTCTATGTTTAGGAGGCTTGGGCTTCCTTCTTTGAACTGTGTCCCCCTGGCTCCAGAGAGAAAAGGTCCCTGGTCTCAAACCCTCTGAAACATCCTCCAGTGAGCCAAGGAAATGGATCCAGAGAGCCTGAAGGTGAGTGAGAAATGGGGATGTGAAGGCAGAGGAGGGAGTCAAGCGCCTGAGAAGAACAGGGGCCTTGGCTTCCCCCTCTGATCGACTGTGCAACACTGGGCAAGCTTCTTCGCCTCGCTGGGCCTCGGTTTCTCCATGTATAACAGGGGGGCAGTCCAGTTGATCTGTGAGACCCTTCCCAGCTCTGCCAAGGTGTCACCTAGGCAGGGACCAGCCCGTGTTTGGCATCCTGCGGCTCACTCCCAGTTTGCCTTAGCCACAGAACATCACAGCAAGATAGGAAGTCAGCCGTGGCCAGGCTGGCAGTCTCAGCTTGGCCTTCAGAACCTGGGAGAGGAGAGGAAGGGTGACATCCCTGCAGGCTGGCTGGGATAGGAAGCAGATAAGAAGTGAGAGAGAAAGGTGGGCATTATCCAAGAGGTCCAAACATAGGGCCACAGAGTGAAAAGGAGAGAAGGCTCGGCGCAGCCTTAGGGAGGACACAGGAAGGCTCCCTGTGGAGGTGCCATTTGAACTGGTTTTTCCGTAGCATTCTGCCAGGAGGGAGGTGGGGGCAGAAAGAACATCATGGGCTCTGCAGACAAAGCTTTCTGGCCCTGCTTTGGGAACCAGAGTCCACAGCATCGGTCACGTTCCTCCTCCTCCCGCAGGCCCCACCCCCCGGCTGAAGGGCAGAAGGAAGAGCGAGGGGGCCCCAAGTCTTTTGGGGCTTGCCCCTGCTCCTGGGCTGCCGTGTCCTTCTGGGTTGTTGTAGGCAGGGTTTGCTCCCTTCCCTCAGAGCTGCCCCTTCCTAGAGATGCCCCTGCTGCCCCTCCTGGCCGTGGTTTCCACACGCCTCCTCCCAGGGACAAAGGCATCTGCCCAGCCCTCTGAAGCACCCTGGCCCCGGGTTCAAGGAGAAGCACTACTGGAGCTGGATA